AACACAGCACCTCCCTGACCGCGGGGATTGTGCGGTGAGCCCGCCGGTTAGGATAACGCGGGCGGCCACCCAACGAGGGAGGGGAATGTCCCAGGTGTCCGGGGGTAAAACCCCGCCACCTGGGACCAATAAACCAGGCCCTCTCTGCTTCAAGCAGAGCCAGGGGGCTAAGGAGAGGACCGCTGGAACAGCGGGGACATCGGGACGGATCGCTGGCCCGGTTGTCCGCTCGGACATCCGGCTCTCGCAGGGCAGCAGGGTGGCGATCCAGCGTCTCGCGAAGACCATACCGGGATCAGAGGCTGGGCCGAGCACCGGTAGGGACATCGGGAGGAAAAGGACGCGGGCCAACACCACCCGCGGCAGCTCCTCAGGAGAAACTCCCGCCCTGGAATCCGCGAGAAGGGGGCCGGGAAGACTGCCCACCACCGGCGGGGTTAAAAAGAAAAAGGAAGCAGAGATGGAGAAGAAGAAGGAAGAGGAAAACAGGAGGTTGGAGAAGGATATTCGAATACTCCTCGACACGGGCATACTGAAGTCCCTCGAAGACAAACGCCCGGTCGAGGAGGTTTATAGGGATAACGCCACCATCAACCTCCTAAGGGAGGCAGGAGTGGCCGAACTGGCCTCGGAAGTGGGCCGAGCGCTGGAAGCGTTTCGGCTGGTCTCACGGAGGTCCCGAACATTGAAAGGGACCTTCGTGAGACTGCTGAACCGCGCAGTGGCCACTTCCGAGGCCGTTATGGCCACCCTACTGGCGAGGACGGCGGAGCGCGATAGCAGAGGGGAGGAAGCCTCGGAGACGAGGAAAGAGGCGGAGGAGCTCCGGGCCGTGCTTCGCAAATTAAGGGTGGAGAACTGGAGGCTGGGGGAGGAACTGGAGGCCATAAAGGCCTCCACTTCCTCGGCCTCTGTTCTCCCTCCCTCGTTGCTTCCCAGGGGGAGGAAGCTATCTTACGCGGAGGCGGCAGGGATATCGGCGATTCCCATATCCACGTCGACGAAGGAGGAAGAAGAAAAAGGTAGGAGGGAGGACAGGAGGAGGAAGAAGAAGAGGAGGATAACCAACTCTCCCTCCCCCCTCCTCCGTTGAGAGGAAAGGAAGTGGAGGTGGGTGTTCTGGTGGATATCCCGTCGTATGACGATAATCCTCCGGAACACCCACCCCCTCCACCATGGAGGACGGAGAAGGCAGAGGAAGAGTTGGACGCCGCCATGGCCGTCTCGGCTCGTGCTTGCGGTCATGGGGAGGAGCTCCGCCGTATGAGGGCGGAGCTCGACGCCCTTATGGCCAGGGCGGAGCGGGCCGGGCGGCTATGGCGGAGGTCCCGGATCAACAGACCCAGGCCCCGAGGATGTCGGAACAGGAGCCGATGGGGAAGAAGAAGGGGACAAAGTGCGAGAAGAAGAAGAGACAGAAGAAGAGGCGGAAGGAGAGGGCCAGAAAGATGAAGGAGGAGGAGGAGAAAAGGGCCCGAGAGGGAGGAAACGGGACGCCGGCCAAGGAACTGCTGAAGGCGATACGGCGGCCACCTGGACAACTACAACAGGCGCCAGCGGGTAAGGCGGAGGAAGTGCTATGGTCCCAGGTGGTGGGAAGAAAGGCGAGAAAGGGGGGAATGGGAGAGGAGGAAAAAAGGAAGGGAAATGCCCCATCCTCCACTCCTCCCCATCCAAAAAGGAAGGGGCCCGGGAGGGGGATAGCTGCGGCGGCACAGGGCAGGCCGAGACCGCCGCGCTCGGCGGCCGTCACCATCACGTGCCCCGACGGAAAGTATGAAGCATTCATGCAAGAGGCCAGGCGCCGGATCAGGCCGGCGGACCTGGGGATCAATGTGTCCCTGAGGGTCCGCCGGGCCCTGAATGGAGCGATGCTCATTGAGGTGCCTGGCCTCAACGTTGGGGCGTCCGCCGACCGGCTTGCGGAGGAGCTGCGCAAGCTGGCGGCGGACAAAGGCCCCGGTTATTGCGTCCAGCGACCGGCGAAGTTCGCAGCATTGCGAATAGCCGACCTGGACGCGACGACCGGTGCCGAGGAGGTAACGGCCGCCGTGGCCCTCGCTGGGGGATGCTCGCCTGAGGAGATCTCCTCAGGCGAGATGAGTATCTCCCAGCGAGGAATAAGTGCAATGGTGGTGCGGTGTCCGCTGGCGGTGGCCGCTAAGGTCGCTGCCGCGAAGCGGGTCCCGGTAGGATGGACCCGCGCCGGGGTGACGGCGCTGCCCGCTCGCGCGACGTTGTGTTTCCGTTGTTTGGAACGGGGACACGTGCGTGAGCGGTACACGAGCGCCGTCGACCGCAGCGGTATTTGCTACTGCTGCGGTAACCCCGGTCACCGCGCCAAGGGGTGCATGAAGGCAGTGCACTGCCCAGTGTGCGCCGAGGCGGGCAGGCCCTCTGGTCATAAGGTCGGAGGGCCTGCCTGCAAGCCCCCTTCCGGAGGGAAAAGAAGGGGGAAGTAGAAGGAAGGGAATAGTCAGAAGGAAGTCACCGTCTGGCCACCCGATTCCTCCAAACCAACCTGCACCACGCCCGTCAAGCAATGCCGCTATTCGCGCACACGATGACGGAGCGTGATGCAGGGTTGGGAATAGCGGCTGAGCCCTATTGCGTCCCCAGGAACAACCTTAGGTGGTTCGGGGACGACACGGGCTCGGTCGCCATAACATGGAGGGCGGATGACTGCTCCCCCCCCGCTACCCAATTGGGTAAAGGGAGGGGTATGTTGTGGCCAAGTGGGGGGCCCTTGTTGTGGTCGGGGTCTACCTCCCCTCGAGCAAGAGCCTGGACTTGACAACCTACACGTCCAGGCTCCGACAAATAGGGAGGGCCGTGAGACGGTACCTCCCAGGCCCTGTCATCATCGCCGGGGACTTCAACGCCAAATCGGCGTTATGGAGTCTGACCCGGGATGGTGACAGGAGGGGGGAGGAAGTAGAAGAGTGGACCGTGGACTTGGGCCTGCACCTAGTAAATAGAGGAAGAAAACCAACCTTCGGACCGCAGGGGGAGTCGGTAATCGACCTCACATGGGCTACCCCTGCGGCCTATGGAAGGGTACAGGCCTAGAGGGTGGCGGAGGAATTAGAATCATTGTCGGACCATCTGATTATAGAGATGGAACTCTCCGCCACCTCCAACGGTTTACCACGGTCTAGACTTAACAGGGATCCCCGACCAGCCAGATGGGCCCTAAGCCAATTGGACAGGGAGATACTGGAGACAGTTCTCGAGGCGACCACCTGGCCACGATGGAAGGAGGGGCAGGACCTCAACTCGGCAGTAGCCGAGGTCATAGGTCTGATTGCGCAGGCATGCGATCAAGCCATGCCTAAAGTGAGGTCCTGCCCCAGAAGAGCCGCCTGGTGGTGGACCGATGAAATTGCCGAGTTGAGGCAAAAGTCGGTCCACCTCAGGCGGGTCTTTAGAAGAGTTCGCGATGACAGAAAGTCCCCCGAAGAGACCAAGGCCGCCCGCATAGAATTCTGTTTGGCCGCGCGCGCACTGCGCAAGGCAATTGGGGCGGCCAAAGGTCAAGAGTGGGACAATTTCCTCCGGATATTGGATGCGGATCCGTGGGGGCGTCCTTTTTCAAGATTGCTATGCAAAAGCTGAGGCCATGGACGCCCCCGCTTACGATGACGTTAGACCCCCGGTTCTTGGAGCGGGTCATAGGGATCCTATTCCCACTGGGGAATGGGATCTCCCCCATAGGCCCCTATATTGCTCCCCCCCAGACCAACAAGGGGAGGTTCCGGGGGTCACTGCGGAGGAGGTAGCCGGGGCCATCAGGAAAGTAAAGAGCAGAAAAGGTCCGGGTCCTGATGGCATACCCGGCCGCGTTCTCACCCTATCCTCGGGGTACATCGCGGAAAGGTTGGCCGTTATTTTTACGGCAGCCTTCAGGGAAGGAAAATTCCCCCCAGTCTGGGGGAGGGCCAACGTGGTCCTCCTCCAAAAAGAGGGTAAACCGGAGGACTCTCCCTCCGCGTACCGCCCCATATGTCTTCTGGATGAGGCGGGCAAGGTCTTTGAGAGAATCATAGCAGCCCGCCTCACGGAGCATATGGCCCGGACAGGTCCGAGCCTCGATGACGGCCAATATGGCTTCCGAGAGGGCAGATCAACAATAGATGCGATCGAACATCTGAAAACCCTCTCGGAGGCCATCGTGAAGGAGGGCAGGGTGGCAATAGTTGTATCTTTAGATATAGCAAATGCTTTCAACACCCTGCCCTGGGATAGCGTGATGAAGGAAATGAAGGATTACTTCCTATTCCCACGCTACCTCATAGCCGTCATCGAGAATTACTTCCGGGGTCGGCGTCTAATGTGAAAAGACGCCGATGGCGGGATGCAAGAGAGGGGGATGAGCTGCGGGTTCCACAGGGGTCCGTTTTGGGCCACTCCTATGGAACCTCGACTATGACAAAGTCCTCCGAACTGCCCTTCCCCCCGGCAGCAGTATTATCTGCTATGCAGACGATACACTAGTGCTGACCGGGAGGAAAGACTGGAGGGAAGCGGTTAGAGCCGCCAATTTCGCGGTGCACTGCATCGTGCGCTTCATCTGTAAGGTGGGCCTGATGGTGGCAGAGAGGAAAACTGAAGCCATTTTCCTCCATAGGAAAGGCATGAAGTCACCGCAGGCCCACCTGAGAATAGGAAGGATTAGGATTCCTGTCGAGGCCCAAATGAAATATTTGGGCCTCCTATTAGACGGCACCTGGTGCTTCAAAAAGCACTTCAGCCGCTTGGCCCCCCGATTAAATGTTATATCAACAAATTTGGGCAAGTTGATGCCCAATATCGGGGGGCCTGATATGAAGGCGCGTCGTCTCCACGCTGGGATCATAAACTCGGTTGCACTATACGGTGCGCCCATTTGGGCGGAGACCCTGGCCGCTAGCCGTCCGTTATGTGCGATCATGCGCAAAGCATAAAGGACGGTGGCGGTTAGGGTCATACGGGCGTATCGGACCGTATTCCACGTGGCGGCGATGGCCCTGGCGGGCATGCCCCCTCTGGAGCTCCTCACACTCATGTACCGAAGTACATACAGGAAGAAGAAGGAGCTCCAGAGGAATTTAAGGGCTGGGGAATCGCTCGCCGGGGCGCTGAGACGCGTGAGGCATCAGGATCGGCAGCTCCTCTTCCAACGCTGGAAAAGGCGCTTGGAAAATGCAAGATACGGGAGGAGGAGTGTCCAGGCCGTCCAGCCCTGCCTGGCCGAGTGGGCGGGCAGGGAGATGGGAACCCTAACATTTAGAACGACACAGGTGCTCACCGGGCATGGCTGCTTTGGTGAGTACCTGTGTCGTATAGGAAAGGAGCGTACGACGCAGTGTCACCACTGCGACGCTGACCACGACTCCGTGCAACACTCCAAGATTGCCCGGCATGGGCGGAGGAGCGCGGAGTCGTGGTTAGAGAGGTAGGCCAAGACCTCTCTCTCCTCAGCGTCGTAAATGCGATGTTGGGGAGTGAGAGAAAATGGGACGCCGTCTCACAATTTTGTGAGACGGTAATGAAACAGAAGGAAGAGGCGGAGGAATACCGCCGGCAGGTAGAGGGAAGTGGGAGAGGGCAAAGGAGGCGACAGCGCCGCCGAGCTCGACACCGCTCCCCAAGTAGGGAAGGAGACGTCGATTCCTCGGAAAAGGAGGCGGTCCGCAGGATGGTGGGGGTCCCCCCCACCAGCACCCCCGAGACCCCATCCCATTCCTCCCTCACTCCCTCCCACAATTCCCATTCTTCCCCCTCCCTCTCTTACACCCAGACAACCGCCACCACCACCTCACGGAAGGACCCCCCCACCCGCATAATGCCCCCTAGGAGGGCAAAGCAGGGGAGAGGGGGAACAAACATAGGGGCGGCAGTAACGAACGCCATGCCGACAACCGCCACTTCAGTGGCGATGGGCAGACAAGGGCCGGGACACGGACAACAGCCGTGTCCCGGTCGCCCACCCACCTCCAGGACGGGGTTGGATGAGGACGAGGGGGGGGAGGGTGAATCTACCAACCGGTTGAAACACCTCCTCCTCCTCCCCCCTTGCCTCTCGGGACCCACACTAATGTGTGGGAAGGAAGGGAGGGGGATTAGCCCCCTCCCTCGCCTACAGAATTGTAGGCGTGCAAATGCCCGGCGGCTAGGGGATAAGTTTTTCCCCCCCGTAACTGCCGGTCGGGAGGATGGGACACCGGGCGGGGACTCCCGGTGTCCCAACCAGCACTCCCAAAGTAGGGTGGTTGGCTGATACGGTGGGTCAGTTAGCCACACAACATGTATTGGCGGCGCCTCGTCTGGTCAGGAACGGTGGTTGAAGCGGACTTCGGCCGGCTTCCCCCTTCCTGACCGAAGAGACGAGGCGTGAGGGGCGGGAAAGGGGAGCGGTGGTCGAAGCGAGCCCTCGGGCTGGCTTCCCCCCTCTGGGGGAGCGGTGGTTGAAGCGAACCTTAGGGTTGGCTTCCCCCCTCCCCCGACCCTCAGGGACAGAAGGTGCAACACCTGGACTCGGGGCTCCGATTGCAGTTACGTAGGCACCGGGGCCCCGATCCAAGTCCCTTCGCAGCGCCACCCGGGAAGGTTTTAGCCGGTAGGAATTCGGCATAACCCTGGCCCTTCCCCGAGGGTCAGGGTATCCATGATGGATTTCCTCGTAAAAAAAAAAAAAAAAAGACAGGTAGACATCCTGCAGGGGTTTTAGTCGGTAAGAGTCCGACATAATCCCCTCCCCCCAAGGGGAGGGAGTATCCATGATGGATTTCCCCTGCGTAACCAAAAAAAAAAGGTTTATTGTAAGGTTAAGGCTCTGCAGACATTGGTTTTTAGGTGAAAATTTGCCTGTCAGACAGTATATCACAATTTTCTCGCATATTTCTGTGATTTTTAGCTGTTTTTTGAGGTTAGGGTTAAACCAAGACCCGTTAGGCCAATTCTGATAGCGGATTTGGATTCAGCGCGTCAAAATACATAGGAATACACATGTCTCGTCCCCAGATCAAGACAATTTTTTTTGTGTGGCTGTGTAATCGGCTAGAAAAGTAAAATCTTTCCGAGCTCAGGGCCTTGATAATGAATCTTTTTCTCTAGCGTGAACTCGTGAAAAATCAAAAGTTTCATTGACGAATTCAATACTTGTCAATGAAACTTTTCACTCTTAACGAGTTCACACTAGAGAAAAAGATTCATGCTTAAGGCCTTGGTCTTAATATCTGAATATACCAACTTTGGTTAATTTAATCGGTTGGTTATTCCATCGTGTTTCGTATGGAAGAAGCGAGTGCGTGAACTCTGTGTATAAAAACAAACTCTCGAAATAATCTAAATTTCACGTTTCTGGAAGTTTCTCGAGAGGATGCCTTGATTTGCAAGAAGCTTCTAAATAGTGCTAATATCGACGCTTCGATGTCACATTCCGAGTTGTTGTTGTTCCATTTCTTATGAACAGGTAACAATGTAAACTAGTTGTCCGAGCCTAGCTCGTGTAAATTCGTCAAAACAATACCAATGCTGATTAGAATACTGATTAAAAACTCGAGAACAAGACATTGTTTTCTTTCATGTGACATCGAAGGACGGTCGTATTCGTTACTCTTCAAGTTTGAACGTGAATCCAGATTAAACCAATCCCGCTCGAACACGGTTGGTTTTTCGCGAACTATAAATAAGGCTAAGGCGATCCGAGTGAGACATCGTCATTCTTTACACAAGTCCGGTACACCGCAGCACTAAGTTAGGTGTCTCCCAATCTCTATACGGGTTATCGCAAGAGACACATCTCTTTTGTTGATTATTAAACGAGTTGTTTTTAAGAAAACAAATCTAGTGATTTGAAACACCTGTATCGTACCCAAACGCATTTTTATCGCAACTCTCTATCGCGTGGGAATCAGCGACATTTTATTGCACGTGTGTAATGTTCACCACTTTGCAACCGATCAACGAAGAGCTTTTGTTTCAACGCAGTGAAGAAGACCATTACCATCATTACATTCGAGGCAAGAAGGTAACGTCTGATACATAAAATTGGTCCTTCGAGCCGGATACGGTCAGGTGAAATAATAGAGAGCAATCGCCATGAATGAGTACGTTGCTAAACAGAATCAGCTTCGTCGACTCATCCTTCGAGCTCTCGACAACTTTAAGAAGATTGGAAAAACTAATTTGACTCCTGCCAAAGTGCGTTCACGGATCTCAAGTCTAAAGGACTCATGGAGTCGATTCCTAGACGGTTACGCCACACTCTGCAAGGTCGTGCATCTCAAGCATCGCTGGACTATTTCCGCGACGAGCTTTTCGACGACATGGAGGAGGCCTTCCAAAGCGCGCTTGATTTCATGCCCGAAAGTTTGGAAGAATTGGACATGTAAGTCCAAACTCCTCGCTCGGTCAGTCTCCAATTCGACTGTCGAAACCTGCGACACCGCTTAATCATTTGCCTCCCATAAGCCTTCCTCCGTACGATGGTTCGTTCGAATCATGGGAGTCATTTCGCGACCGCTTCACCGCATTAATAATCGAAAACCACGAATTAAGTAACGTCACGCGAATGCACTTTCTAACGTCATGCGTTGCCGGCCATGCGCGGGAATGTATTCGAGATTTGGCAGTAACCGCCGATAACTTCGAGACCGCGTGGAATCTATTAACCTCTCGGTTTGAGAATAAAAGACGGATTCTAAACGGACATCTCACCTCAATACTTAATTTACCGGTAATATCGCGCGAATCGGCTTCGGAGTTGTCGGCGCTTTGCGATAAAGTTACTGCCACAATCGCGGCCATAACCAATATGCAGAGGAGTCCCGCTCAACTCTGGAACGATATGCTCGTGCATATTGTCGTAAATAAACTCGACTCCCCAACGCGCAAAGCATGGAATCTCCGCAGTGGACCGAGTGACGAGCTGCCATCGTTCGACGAGCTCAAAACATTTCTCGCGTCTCGCGCTCGGGCTCTCAAGAATCTCACTGAAAGTTCGGCAGGAAAAACGCATTCTCGATTAACGCAAAAGGTCAACGTAGCAATTGCATCCACCTCGAAATCGTGTCCTTTGTATAAAGACAACCATTCATTCAGTGCATGTTCTCTTTTTGTAAAAAACAATGCAATCAAGCGTCGTGAACTCGCGTCTCGGCATCGACGGTGCTTTAATTGTTTAAACGATAAGTATAATCGGAAGGATTGTAAAAGTCAATATTCATGTCGCGAATGTCATCGTAAGCATCACACGTTGTTACACGTCGGCGCTCCCGCCACGGTGATTACAAATGTTTCACCGCAGACCGAAAGCTCCGCTTGCGAGGCCGAAGCCGGGTTTACGGATTCACGGATCTATCCTCCACTGATTGAAACTAATTCGCTTCTAACGTCAACCCGTGTACGTTCTCAATCGCATGTCTTGTTAGCAATGGCTACAGTAAAAGTCAGCTGTGCATCAGGTCCTTCCGTCACCGTCCGCGCCCTCCTCGATCAAGGATTCGAAGCGACCTTTATTTCCGAGAGCGTAGCGCAGATGCTCCGAATCAAACGAATCAGGAAGTCCGTGACTGTATCTGCCGTAGGCAGACTAAACGCCGGAACAGTCCATCACGCTGCCGATATTAAAATCTCGTCTCACGGTAATTCGTCTACCATTGTTTCAACCATAGCACTCATATTACCGAATCTCACGTCCTACGCACCGAAATGCGTCTCGAACATTGCGTCGTGTTCTCATTTAAACGGTTTGCAGTGGGCTGATTCGGATCCACTCAGTAATGTTCCGATTCATATTATTATTAGCGCTGACCTTTATGGCAGCATTCTATTAGAAGGTTGCGTAAAGGCAACGCAACCCAGCCTATTGCTCAGAATACCATTTTCGGATGGATTCTCTCTGGTCCACTCGACCACGCAACTAGTCCGTCAGCACAAACGTTGAAGGACAGTCAATCGGCAAAGGACATCTCCGTCTTCCATTGTCTCACGCTCCTGTCGCTCGAAAAGCCATTCGACAATTTTGGGCGGACGAGGAAATTCAAAGGCCGATTCCTCTCTCTATAGAAGACGAGCAATGCGATGAATATTTTCGATCCTCGCATTCTCGAACTGCGGACGGTCGCTACATAGTCCGTCTGCCTTTCAAAAAAACCCCCCCGATTCTCATCGGAGATTCTCGCGGTCGCGCGGAGAAACTTTTAAATTCACTGTTGCATCGATTAAAAGAAAACGACACCTTAGCTGCTGAATACAAAGAGTTTTTCGCTGAATACGAGCAGCTGGGACATATGCGCCGCGCGCCCGTCGGATCAACGTCCCTCTCACAGTGCGTGTATTTTTCTCATTACCCAGTTGTACGCGACAACAGTGTTACAACGCGCGTGCGAGTCGTCTTCAACGCGTCATTCGTTACTTCTAACGGCACTAGTTTAAATGATCATCTGCTCATCGGGCCAAAGCTCCAACTGGACCTACCGGCCATTATTCTCAAATGGCGTCAATTCAAGTATGTGTATGCCGCGGACGTCACAAAAATGTATAGGCAAATTTTGATAGACCCTCGCGATGTAAATTTTCAACGGATCTTGTGGAAATCCGCAAATGAAGCGGTGCCGATCGAATACCAACTCCTCACGGTCACACACGGCATGGCCTGCGCTCCATATTTGGCGCTCCGTGTGATCCAACAGTTAGCGAACGACGACGGACATCATTTCCCTCTCGCTGCGCCTATACTACGAGGAAACATATATGTCGACGATGTCCTATTCGGAAACGACAGTATACCTACGCTAAAATAGACACGCAAAGAACTTATACAATTGTTACTACGCGGCGGGTTTGAAAAAGGTTACAAAAATGGGCCGGAAATTCGCCTTCTCTGCTAACAAACATTGAGTCCGAAAATTGCGCTCCTGCCTGCTCCAAATCCTTATCCTCCGACGAAATACTCAAGATCCTCGGAGTGACATGGAATCCCGTTCAGCACGTGTTTCAATTAGCAGTCACTTTGGACGATGTCATACCAAAAAGCAAACGTTCTGTTCTAGCCGCAATAGCCCGATTGTATGACCCGCTCGGATGGGTCTCTCCTGTCACAATTACAGCAAAAATCTTCATGCAACGATTATGGAAAGAAGGGCTCGACTGGGATTCCCTGCTCCCTCCTTTCCTACTCCCGCAATGGCGAAGTTTCTACACCAAATTGTCGTCGCTGCGCGAGCTCCGCATTCCCCAATGGACCGGATTCGGTTCCGACGTACGTCGCGCCGAGTTACACGGGTTTTCCGACGCTTCCAACGTCGCATACGCAGCTGCAGTTTATTTGAAAGTTGTTACAACGACAGGTCATGTCACAGTCAGCCTTCTGATAGGCAAATCTAAAGTGGCTTCGTTAACTCCTACAAGTGTTCCTCGCCTCGAATTACAAGGAGCCGTTCTCCTCGCCCAGGCGATGGAATTCGTTCGTGCCACACTGTCGTTAGCCCATATTCCGTGCTTTTGTTGGACTGATTCCATGGTGGTATTAGCCTGGCTACGCCAACACCTGTCTCGATGAAAAACGTTCGTCGCGAATCGAGTCGCTGACATACAAAGCCGCTTAAAAAACGTAGAGTGGCGTCATATCGCCACTTCCGATAATCCCGCTGATTATGCGTCTCGCGGACTCCTCGGCGACGAGTTGATCGCGCATTCATTGTGGTGGCGGGGACCTATATGGTTGTCTCAGCCATCCGAGGAATGGCCCTCGCGACTAAGTACGATGCCCGTCAATGCGTCATTGGAAGAGAAGGTTGTGTCGATTCAATGCAGTCGGTCATCGACAACTTCTGACCTCGTTGTTCGTTTCTCGTCTTGGTCTAAGTTACTCAGAGTCACAGCGTATGTATTTCGGTTCATCTCGCGATGTCGTCGGTTGGCGAATCACAATGACACCCCACCATCCTATCGACTCGCGCTCTCTCCTGTTGAGTGTCATGCTGCTCGCGTATTTTGGATCAAAACGATTCAAAATGACGTTCTTCCGGCCGAAGTCAAAGCGCTTTTAAAGGGAGTACCCGTCGCAACCACCAGTTCAAGCTATTCGCTGTGTCCATTCTTAGATTCCGATGGCGTCGTTCGGGTGCGAGGATGTCTGAGAAATGCTCCAATCCCGATATCACGCCGACATCCCATCCTTTTAGCGCGGCATCCACTAGTCGATTTGATTATCGATCAGGCACATCAGCGTACTTTATATGCTGGACTACAGCTAACACTCAGTACTCTCCGACACGATTTTTGGATCCTTCGCGCTCGAAGTCTAATCCGAGCAGTCATATACCGGTGCATCGTCTGCACACGGGAGCGAGCCGCTACGCCTTCCCAATTGATGGGAGATCTTCCCGCAGTTCGTGTCTCTGCTCCGGAACGCGTATTTCTCCACTGCGGATTGGACTACGCTGGCCCGTTACTTGTGTGAACTTCCTCCGGTCGCGGGATCAAGTCACACAAAGCTTACATAGCATTATTCGTGTGTTTAGCCACCCGCGCTATTCACTTCGAGCTAGTCTGACTACTCCACCGCATCATTTTTAAATGCATTTTCGCGATCTGCGCTCGGCGAGGACTTCCGCGCTCAATCTATTCTGACAACGGCACGACCTTTGTAGGCGTGGACCGCGAGCTCAGGAACGCATATCGCATCGCTTTACGCGATCCAAATCTACTTAATAAAACTGCTGGCGATAATGTGTCTTGGCACTTTGTTCCTCCATCTGCGCCTCACTTCGGCAGTATCTGGGAGGCCGGAGTGCGGAGTGTCAAACACCACCTGCGACGAGCACTCAAATCTGATACTCTTACATTTGAAGAACTGACAACTTTGTTATGTCGCGTGGAAGCGTGCCTGAACTCGTGCCCCATCGCCCCGCTGTCCGACGAATGCGATAACTTCGATTTCCTAACTCCGGGTCATTTTTTAATCGGATCTGCGCTTACGACCAATCCCGAACCATCCACGCTCGAGCTGAAGGAAAACCGTCTTTCTCGATGGCAGTTAGTTCGGCATATTACCGAAGTATTTTGGAAAAGATGGTATAATGAGTATATTAATACGTTGCAACAATGCTGTAAATGGCGTGCTAAACAGCCAAACATCCAAGTTGGACGAATGGTGCTTCTGCGTAATCCTAACTTGCCCCCCTGCAAATGGGAGCTCGGTCGGATAACTCAATGCCATCCAGGACCGGATTCACTAGCTCAGATGGTTACGGTGCGAACCGCTACTTCCGAATATCGAAGACCTCTCATAAAATTATGTCTACTCCCCATCGAGTGCGCCGCTGACACCGCGATATAAATATATACTCGTCTTATGCGCTCATAAAGCAAAGCGTCTTCGCATGAG